AATTTTAATTTATTTTAAAAATTAAGGCTAATATACACTTTTTTAATGTTTATTAAAAAATAAAAATAATTTATTTTCAAATTAGAGTTTGTTTTGATGTTTTTTTATAATACTTTAATAAAACTATAAAATTTTAATGTACTTATTAATCACCAATCTCATTTATTTTAATAGAAATAAAAAAATAAATTAAAATAGATGAGGAAAAATGTTTCGGTTTCTGGTGAAGCCCAACTTCTTTTGGACCACTATTATAGCCCAACCTGAGTTTCCATTAAGTGGACTTGTCAATTGTCACTTCTGTACAGATATAAGCCCAAAAAGTCAATGTAACTTTTGAGCGTCGGGTCTCAGAGTTCTGGGACCACTGCAGTGTGCATGGGGGGTCTGTTACATAGCAGTGATATGACAACTCCATGTATTTACGTAAAATATTAAAATGTATAATTTGAATTATATTAAATTTATAATATTAATTATTAAATATTATCAAATTAAGCACTTGGGTTTTCGGATCAATGATGCCGGGTTCAGTGGCATCAGGTGACGTATAAGTACATTCTCTCACTTCAGAGCAACAGTTTGAATTGGACCCCTTGCGAATTTATTCAAAAAATATATATATATATTATCAAATTAAGATTGAGTTGTTAATATTGTTTTCCTTGTCTTCATCTTTTCAGTATTTGAAAATTAGATTAAACTTGATTAATTCAAAATAAAATTATATTAAAATAAAAAAAAAACTTTCTGAGTATTTTTTTTATTAATATTATTTGAATTTGAGATTTTATTTAGTGAAAACTAAGTTTTTTTCATTATGATCAATAAGTTATTTATGAGTTGTTAACATAGTTGGTTGCATCCTTTGTCTAATTTTTTATTTTAAAATTATATTTTCTAATTTGTGCCCTAATTATAATTTTATATAATAAAAATACAAAATAAAATATTAATATCAAATTAATGATGGATTTCTTCATTTAAATTTTAGTTGTCTCCATTCAATAATGATATATCTCACCTATAACCTTAAAATATACGTTAAAGTACATTAAATATATTATTTTACAATAAATTTTTATTAAAAATGTAAAAGTAAGATTTTTTTTAAACATTAATATTATTTGAATGATTCTAATTAAATAATTGATAAATTTAAAATTAATTTTTATTTTTTTATATAAATTAATTAAAAATATAACTAATATTTTTTTAATCTATACTTTAAAACTACAAATTACACAAACCCAAATAATTAAGTTTGTTGCATTCTTCTATTGTAATTCATTGGTGGCCACTGCAGTCTAACAAGATTACCGATAAATTGCATCCCTGATCAATGATCGAATATTGCCAAGAGAGCATGTACTAACTAAACTTTTAACTTTTAATTTTTATTAATTTCCCCTGTAAAAAAAAAAATTAGGTTTGTCACAATAATCATTCCCTAAATTTGTACTACGCACCTACCAACTCACTTCCAGCCATGCACCAACTGTTGTGTTTAGTAGTTGATTATTTTTTTGTGAGGGCATGAGCCATGCGCACAGCCTATTTCAGTTGAATCTTTTTTTTTTTTAAAATAGGTAATGATATTTCAGTTGAATCACTAGGCTGGCAAATGGGAACAAACACGTGCACGTGATCCTGTACAAGACCCACACGGCCACACCCCACCCCACCCCACCCCAAATGGCCATGACCTATTTGCAAAAGAGAGCAGCTGGCTAGCTAGCGGACCACTTTTGTCAGGGTCGTGTCATTTATTAGCCTCACATGCAAGAAACCAACCGCACTGAGGCAGTCTGGCCCAGGGAATAAATTTGGGTCGTTGACATAGAATTCAATATGCTACTACACCATCATAAATATGTGATTACTCCTTTTTCCCAGAATTACAAATTTTGCAATAAATACTTGAAAACTGACTCAGTATCCTCCCTTTGCTTTGATTTTCAACTTTTTCCTGTAAGAAAAAAAAGAAAGAAGAAGATCAATCGCATTCACCATTAATTCTCCTATATATACTACTTGGCCCCATTTTGGTTTTATTCATTTTTTAATATATGTGCATGTCCACTTTTTATAATCTGTTTGATAAAATTTATAAATGTTTTAATTTTTTTTAGTATTATTTATATTTCATATATTTAAATTTTTTTAAAAAATTTATATATTTTAATTTTTTAATTTTAAAAAATATTAAACAGTAAATTTTAAAAATTTTAAACTTTATTTTTTATAAATTTTATTTTTATTTATTTTTTTATTAAATTTAAAAATAATTTTTAAATTTTTCTTTCAATAAAAATTTAAATTTATAACTCATAAATAATATTAAAAAAATAAAAACTCCAAAAAATTCCACCATAATATCCTTAGCGTAGAGTTTGGGTTGAGGAAGAAGCAAGCTATAGGAAATTTCCATACTAGATGGCTATTCTATTGACTATGATTTGCTGATAATTAAATGATGCCATGACTAAATTTTGTTGTGGTGACCGTTTCAGTTGCCTTTATAAATGAAGTAATTTAATATTGTTCTATATTTAATTGAGGATGAGTTATACTAATACAATAAGAATAATTTTTTATATTTAAAAATTTTAATTCAAAATATTAAATTTTTATCCGTTAATTAAAAGCCCTATTGGGAGTCTTTAATTCAGAGTATTAAATTTTTATCTGTTAATTAAGAAACCCTATTGGGACTTCATTAATTAGTATAGTGCTAAGCTTAATTAGTTAATTACATGAATTAATTTGGATTCTTCTAAGATTAATTAATATATATATATATACACACACTTGTTTAGGTTGTTGGACAACCTAATTAGAGGTCCTAATGAAACAAAAACAACTTTAGTATATATATTATTAGACACTAACTAAAAGTTAGCATTGTTGATTTGGGCAATGATGATCAAGTTCGAGTGGGTGTACCTTGTTAATTAGTTTGTAATAATATGGTCAAAAGTGTTTGGTGTACCATTATTTTCATCAATTGCATAATTAGCATGAAAATTGCTTGTCATCACAATGTAGTTTAATATTGGATCATCAGCACTTAAGCCTAAATCAGTAGAGTTGGTGGTCTATAAATTGTTTTCATAACATAGATATTTCAGCATAGAGGAAATTTCCTACATCCATAACAAAATAAGATGGTGAATTCAGGTGAGCATTTAATTCTGTTCACTCCTTCGTGTTAAGTAATGGTATGTATAAAATGTTGGTTGAAGTACAGTTGATCTTGGTGGAAATACATCAATTAATTGTAACTGTAATAATTGATTTATTGCCTTTTTTTATCAGTTATTAGTTAAAACAAATTTAGAACATATGGGGAGAGGTTTCCAAAAAAAAAAAAAAAAATTTAGGCATACAATATTTAAGTGCAATGTTTTTGTATAAATTACAATATGATATATTATTATATAATTAAATTTTTTATTAAAAAAAGTATATATAATATTATATTTATTTAACAATATATTATATAAAAATAATGCCTATCAACCTTACTTCATAAAGATTACGAAAAAAATTATTTTAAAATTACGTCGTTTTAATGAATTTTTATTAAAAAAGATTAAATAATTATATTTTTAAAATATACATTAAAATAATTTTTAATTTTTTACTTCTTAATTTTTTAAAAATAAAACAAACAAACACTAATATCATATTATATAATATAATACGAGGGAATACTACCATTAAAAGAAATTGAGATAAGTTATGCCATAAAAGTTACAGTTTGAGACTTTTAATAGCGTTAGATTCGAATACCAGTCCTGAAGCAAACGTACCATCATTACACGTTAAGAACCTTCGTGCTCATATTATTCATTTAATGCGCATACAGTTGAGTAAGATTCCACTTAAGTCTTTAGCTTGTACTTGAAGCTAAATGTGGACAAGGAATAAATGCATTCTCATCTCTGGATGCGAATCATTGTACATTATTCATACACAATATTTTCTTAAAATAGTGACAGTAACCATAATTAACGAACTAAGTGATTAGATTTATTGACAAATAAATACTATTTATATGGTAGGTATAGAATATGATTATTGGAACTAACATTTAAGAAAAATGAATCTAGTCAATATTGCACACGCTTAGTAGTTTGAAGTAGTGTTTCGACTTATCAAAATTCAAGATTATATATTAAAACTTTCGAATTTAAATTTCTCAGGATTTAAAAAGGTATTAGGAAAAACAAAATTTATCTTTTAAGTTTAACTCAATAACTCCTCAATTTTTTTTATTTAATTTTAACCTCTCGCATTCAACAACCATATTAGGTGTCAATTACTTTGAAATCAAGTTACATCGGACTCATAAAGGAAAGTTCTTGAACATTTATTTCTTCATTTACAAATTTTGAATTCAAAATCTTACTTAAAAAGGAATCTATCTCCTTCTACTTGGACTAACAAATTGTTGGTCTCAATAACCCTTCATAAAACACTATAGATATGAGTTGAGTTAGATTTGAATTTGATCATCATATGTCATAAATTAAATGAATTAAGTCAAATGAATTCTCAAATAAAAGGCAACCCATAACTTACTTATTTCACAAGTTTCCAGGTTATGACCCAAACAAGGCATGAGTTAAATTGGTGAGATTCAATTGAGTTCAGTTGTGGCAAAATCCTATTTTTAATTTTTTA